CACCCTTCGAAACTCTTTTAAAATTCCTTCTTCTCGATACTTTTGAATGATCTCTTCAAAATATGAGGTCACAATAAATCTGAATGGAATGTAAAATGATAAAGGTTTTCTTTCAGATAACTTCCATTGCTCCAAAAATTCCGCCAAATCTTCGGGTGTAAATTGCCATTCACCGTCTAAATTTAAAACTTTAAGATAATAAGGACTATTAACCCTTATTATTAAGTCGAATAAATCTTTACCATCAGCCCTATTAGTAAATGTATAAATTTTTAATGCTTGTAGTCGCTGATGAATTGTCAAAAATCTTGAAAGTTTTTCGATTGCCAACTCATTCCACCAAATCGTGACAAAATTCAAATTTGAGAATTTCGGTCTTGATAATAAGTCAAGATAATTCCTAATTTCCTCCGGTCTAGTGGGGGGACAATCTGTATTCCAATATATCCTTGACAAGGTTCCTTGCGTATTCTCAATAAATTGGGTGAATATATCAAAAGGAGTATGTTCATCCCAAAATATATCGAGAACTTCAAGTTTAGGAAAGACCGTTGAGGCGAATTGTGATAAATTTGAAATCTTTCCTGATATGAATAATTTCAAATATTTTAGATTGACGAATTCCGCAAGACTGGACGGTCTGATACACAGACTGCCATGAAAATATAAGGTGGAAATGGATTGAGCCTGTGATATTAAGGCTCGACCGATGCGTGGATACTCATTATCCTGCCCATCGGGAGCTTGTAGCTCCACATATTTCAACCCAGTTTGAAATTCGATTAAAGTCGCAAGTCCATCATTATCGTGACAAGGGTCGATAACCAATTTCTGAACGTTTCTACATGTCTGAGCTAATCCAAAAAAGTATTCAGGCGAAAGATCGCTCCCACAAACCAATACACGAAGCTTTTGTAAGCACGTCGTCGATCCCGGACAATAAGACAAGGGAGCTTTCGGTAGAACCAGGTGTCTAAGAGAGGACTTTGACATGAACAGCTTATAAATTTCTTGTTCAAATAAATAATCTTTATACCCTCGGTAATAATCAGCGTTATCGTTTACGTGCTCTCTTGTCAATTGATCGACAGCTTCGGGTGTAAGGTGTTGACAAAATCTTACATAATCATATGTTGGACGATGTAAAATCGATCTGATGACGCCGTTTCTCCGCAGTATCTCTTGTGAATCGTGGGATAAGCAACATAAGATGGTTGGGGTTATGGCCGTCCAAAAAGCATAATCAGATGTTTTCTCAAAGTTCCAAGGATTACTCCATAGAATACGAACGGAAATATCACACCATGCCCAATTGACCAATAGGCACGAATATAGAGAACTTGCGTCTTCTTCCAGATATTTAATTACCTGATCGATACAATCTGCTGGTAATCTAGACGCCATTATCTTTTTTTTTTTATTTTTTTTTTTTTTTGCCTTTTTTTTTTATATTCTATTTTCTTTTAAAAAAAAAATTTTTCCTTTTTTTTTTCTTACTTTTATTTGTTGCCGGAAAGAAAAGAAAAGAAAAAAAAAAAAAAAAAAAAAAAAAAAGAGAAAAGGAATAAAAAGAAAGAGAATAAATAAAAATGATTGTTGTAATGTCTAGTAAAAAAAAAAAAAAATCATTGGTGATATGAAACAAAGAGACCCCGAGTAAAGGTAACACAGTCGAATGCATTTTACCTGATATCCGATAAAAATTTTGTCATACGAAATTAATTATGTCTTATAAAAAGTTAATTCTGATCTTCTATTCACAATAAATATGGAAAATCAAAAAACTCTCGAGGAAAAGATCAGCTTTTAAATGGTATATTTTAAAAGTATCGATCAAAACTAATTTAAGGTTTGTACTTTTGTATGGATCTTGAATCAGAGAGTGGATTTTTCACAATCGATGGAGGCTAAATGTTATTGTATCATGTGAATAAAGCATATGTGTTAACCACTTTTACGTTTCGAAAGATAAGGGCAGACATAAAAAAAAAAAAAAAAATTTCTTTCACTGTAAAAAATAATTTTATTCTATCAAAGAAAAAAAAAATTATAATAATAATAAAGTAGCAGTGGTGGGAGAAAAAGAAAAAGGAAAATGAAAAAAAAAGGGTTAGGAAAAAAAAAAAGTAGAGTATAAAAAAAAAATTTCAAGATAACATATAAATACCAAAAAAAAAAAAAAAACGAGATAAAAATTGTTTTTCTGCAAGGTTTTGTACAATGAAGAGTCAAAAATGCACAAGGTAGATCAGCACTGAAACGGTTAGTAAACTCCCGAAGTAAGCAATTATTGATTAGCTATCTTTACAATTACATAACATGTAATTTACATCTGATTGGCTTAATTGCATGCGAAAAGCACATGATACGAGTATTGTGAAACATTCTTATCTATCTCATTTAGTAAAAGCCAACTAGAACTATTATGCGAGATTAATATGACACTTCCTCTACTGATCGACAGATACCGAAATTTCGAATTTTACTTTTGTGGTTTAACTCAAATTTTTTAACTTTTTTCAACAAAATGGTTTTTGTGTATTCTAAAAATGTTCTGAATCTAGAATGGGCTTTCCATTTTCCATTCAGTCAATTACAAAACCTAAATTATAACATTGTACTTTAATTTTTAGGTTAAAAAGGGGAACGTGATATGAAAGATAATGAAAAAATTTTTAACGAAATATTTATCTCTTTCCGATAAACCCTAAGCCCCTTGCATTTTTTTTTTTTTTTTCTTTTATTCCACGGAAGTTCTCAAAAGCATCATATATCATTCGCCGCTTTTCGGATAATAAGTGCTATTCATAATTGTAGCACACAGATAAGTAAAAACTTGATTGTAAATAGCTAAATTGGATTCTGATAACCCTTTTGCTCCCGTAACCCTTTCCGGTCACGGAAATGAAAAACAAAAACACATTACACATTCATACTAACTTATTTTTACACTACTTTATTTTCTTCTGGAAATTATTATTATTTTTTTTTCTTGCACTGCCGATAATGATAATGGTATGTAAATTTTTTTTTTTTTCATTAATTTGTTGATTACAATAATAAGGATTTTTATAGAAATCTGAAATGTTCTTTGTTTTTGAATAAATAAAGCAAATAAATAAATAAATAAACCTGCGAAAAAATGTAACAAATAGGTTCAAACTGTCAAATTGATGAAATTTAGGTAATTTCATTGCAAATCAGTACGGTAAAATTACTGCAAGTAGTGTAGTATCTGATAATGAAAATGGAAGAACATAAATTTTTTTTTTTTTTTTCAAAAACAAAAACTGGGGGAATTAAATATAATCAATCATACAACATATCATCGGACCAATCATTAACTCATCACGTGAATTCCACAAAAGTTCTCAAGGGTTTTGCCTAACAGAGATTAATTGTCAAGACGTTACATAAAACATTTCACAGATTTGCTCATTGAATTTCTTTTGTTGTTCTTTGAAATAATGGATAAACAAACAGTTATATGGGCTGATTTTTTAGAAAATCAAGGTCAAGTTGGAAACAATATTTTTTATTTTATCTCCACGAACCATACAAACTAGTTATCTTGGTTACATTCCGTTTCAAACGGTTTATAACAAATAAACAAACGTAATAAAAAGCGAAGAATGATATAAAAATTTTTAATGTTTTACATTTGAAATTTAGTTTTCTTAATGCGTAGGTACAGTACGTTAAAATTGTGTAAGTTTATTGTTTTTTGTCCTTCTTTATATGATTCTCCAAACTATATGCCTATCATTCAAGATTAATTAATAATATCAATTATTGGAGATTCTCGGGAAAAAAAAGGTAATTTGCCGATTTATATTCCCATATAAGTTTTATTATTTATTTATTATTTATATTTTTTTTTTAAAAACAAATTTTCGCGATTTTCGCTTACATGTATCATGTCGATTATAGATGTGTAGTTTAATACTGTATATTCGGGATGCTAGCACCGCAGCACAGGGAGGTAATGATACTGATCTAAATTTATTTTAGGATTTTATATACAAGAAAAAAATTTTTTTTCTCAAGGATTTAAGGAAAGAAACAAAAGAATGGTAAAAAAAAAAAAAAAAGAAAAAAAAAAAAAGTGAAAAGAATGTTAACGGTCAAATCCCCCTTAAAATGAAATTTTTATCAACGCATTTAACCTTCTCCAAATCCTTCATTTTAATATTCACGGAAATTTGTGAAGTTCCATTGATTTCACAACCAATAGTACTGTCACTATGATGAAATGATCCTAATTCAATATCATCTTCTTCATTAAATTTTTTCTTTGAATGTTTTCTTTTAGATTTCTTTTGTGAATTCATATAAATATTACATGACGATTCCAAAATCATTTGATTTTGATTTTGATTTTCGGTTATACCGAATCCTTCGTGACAAATATATTGTATGGCATTTGCTATGCTTCCAATATTAACAGAGATAATGAAGAGATAATAAATCCATAACGGATCATTTCCTCGGGCTACTCCAAAAATAAATGGTAGAGTTGGTGTCTAAATTATCGAGGAAAAAAATTTTTTTTCTTCTTAATTAGGTAGGTCAAGCCGCCAAAAAAAAAACCATCACAACGATTAAAATTGATGTTTACCCATTGAATTAGAAAATTAAAAGTATAGGCTAGAATTTTTTTGGTGGCCATTTTTTGTTGTACATCATTAATACCGATACCATCAGGTCGTTCCACAGTCGTTATCGTATAAATTATACAACCATAACAAAAGATACATAATATTGCTGTAACTGATATTAATGTTGACATCGTGATTGTCAATGACCATTTCCCCGGTGAGCTCCAGCACCAATATTTTGAGGGACCGTAAGAATCGAATCCAATACAGGAAAATCCTAACGCACTGGTAATCAAAAGCAACCATAATCTAAAAGGAGGAAAAAGGATATGAATTAAAAGTCATTCGTTATAAATAATTCATCCCTTTTAAAGGGGTCCACCTGCCTGTGATCATATTTTCCGGTGTCAAGATAGAGATTCAAAATCACTTTTAAATAGGTTCTAATGGCAACGAGAGCAACTAAAGTTACGCTCATTGAAACGATAAACGCATCAAAAAATCCGTATATTTTACACGTGATTCCTGTCCAAGGCACTCCGATCACCAGCGCGCTAATAATATTAGCAAAATATAATATTGAAAGTAATGCGTTATTTATTGCTATATACATTGGTAATCTAATTCCAATTGAGAAATTTAGATTTTGCTTTAATCTTCGATATGTTTGAATTATCACAAATGCGCTTCCAACCAAACTGACCTACATATTGAAGAAAATTTTAGTATTTGATATGTGAACTTATGATTTTGAACATACGAAGATCTCTTACTTGTGATATTGTAAGGGCTAAAAAAAGATCAGGCAGATTTTTTTTTGAATTTTTTTTTTTTTTTAAAAAAAAAAAATAAAGAATGAAAAATTAATATGATTATGTCGAGAAAATTCTGCAGATGAGGCAATACGTCTTACTTACAAAAGATATATAAGGTTCGACCTTTAATATCAATTGGATTAAAATTCGGATAATGATTATGATATTCATCGAAATTTGAAATATGTTCAAAAATAATTAAACATTCAACGTTCGACGTTGAAATAATGAAAAAGAATGAAAACAAAAATATTTTATAATAAATCATATTAATTAATCATCTAATTATATCTATAACTCTAAAATCACCATACAGCTCTTGAAACCATTTTTTTTTTTTTTTATTTTTTTTTTTAAAAGGAAAGAATAAAACGAATGTCTTTAGTTAAAAATTTTTTTTTTTTATTTTTTTTAGATCCAAAAAGGATTGAGTGATGATTTGTAAAAATTTTAAAACAATTGAACGTATTTTATATGATTTATTTTTTATATAATAAAAGCAACAACAATTGCAATTTACAATTTAAATGGTTTGAAACAAACAAATTCAAAACTTACGCAATTTTACTAAACATTTTCTTTGTTAATTTAAACAAATAAAGAAAGAAAATAACAGACCATATTATTTGTTTTGAGATCGAGAGCCCTTAGTATGGATTTACATAAAAATGTTTATATAATTTTAATTAAATTTACCAGAATTACCAACGTTTTAAACTATTGTTTAATGATTATCTTTTGTCACAAGTTCGCACATTAGAATAAACAATCAATTTGTCAACAAAGTATTTTGATTAGTCAATCAAAATACCCTTTGGAATAATATTAAGGCATAAATTCGACTCGTGGGGTCTTTGTCAGGTTATATAAATATCATAATCTTTAAAATCAGTCTAGTTCGTAACAAGTTATTCTTTGTTCTTGAATTAAAAAATTTGAGGTTTTATAATACCATAATCGATTTATACACAGAAATTGTTGACTTTTCAAAAACAACCTTTCTTGCCCTAAATGCTTAAAATTCTAAACAGTTCTAATTTCGATAAATATAATTGTTAACTCCCAAAATAGTTTTAACGCAAGTTGGAAAAACTTTTTATTGAAATATCGACTATCTCAAAATTATTTTAACCATAATCAAATAATTATTTATCAGAATTTGGTTTAACATATTTTATTTTGATGATGTTTAATTAGTATTTACAATGCAAAGATTTTCTTTAATTTTGATATACTTTTATATATTTAATATTATAAAAATTATATATATATCTTGAAAATTCATAAATAATATATTCAGTTTATCCAATTTTATGATTTAAAATAATATTGAGTTGCATTAAGTTAAATTATAAATAATTGATTTTATATTTTGATTATATAAGATTTCATTAATAAAAGCAAATTATATTATAATAAATTAATAAGTGAATGTATATTTATCATTAAATAAGTTATTCTTTTTTGTTTATATATTAATTATCAATTTCAACTAAATGAATTTTTAATACAAATTCAAATCATAAAATATGCACTTAACAGTATAATTTATTAATTAAGTAATAAACTCATTTATTATATTATATATTTTTTCTATTTCTTTTCAATTCAAAGAAGCTTTTTCACAAATTAACTAAAAGGTATAAGTCAATATCTAAAATAAGATTAATAATTTAAAATTTTTTCATTTTAATATTCATATTAATATATACAGTATCTTGATAATTAAGTACAAATTAAAGTTGAATTCTTGCTATTTATTATGATATTAAAAATAAAAATTAGTAGACTTAATTTAAGATAATTTATTTTTAGATGCTATTATATTTATAAAACAAATAAAATAATCTGCTAATGTAGTATTTCAATTTTAAAATATTATAAAAGCTTTTTTAATTAAATTAAAATTAATTAAAGATCTTTTACATTATAAAAAAATTTGCAATAGCAAATAATCAATTTAATTTCACTTTAAATAATTCTGATTTTCTTTAATTAACTATAATAAAATAAAAATACATATTAGATTATTAATAATTTAATTCATTTATTTATTTTTAAATTATTTATATAAAATAAAATATTAATTATTTTAAATAAAAATTAATAATTTAAATAAAAATTTAAAAAAAGATTAAATTTACATTTTAATTTACATTTTATATCAAATAATTAATTTAATAGAATTAAATATAATAGTACATTTAGTTTTTATATATTTTTATAATATTATTTAATATATTATTTTTTATAATATCTTCTTTAATAATTTATTAATCTTATAATTTTATAATATTTACAAATAGGTTTGATATTCATTTAAATTTTATAATATAGTAAATTTTATAATTATTATATTACTAAAATTAATATTTAATATAATTAATATTTTTTTTAAATTTGCAAGCAAATTTTGCAATCTAAGTGATAATTATTCATATAGTATATCTAAATAATTTTATGTATAATTTTAAAGTTTTAGATTTAATTTTATAATTCTTGATAAGTGTAATTATAATTTTTTCTTGTATATTATTTTAAATTTTTCTAATAAATTAAATTTAAAATAGAATTTAATAACTTTACAACTTAAATTTTTTAATTATTTTATTAATTAAACAAGTTTAATTATAAAATTATTTGTTATTTTAAATATATATTATATATGACAATTTTTTCAAATATATTATTTTTATAAAAATTAATTAAATTTTTATTTTATAATCCTTCTTCTTAAAAAATTATTTTTATACTTTTGATTTTCTTATAATTTATAATTTAGATAATTATTTAAAAAAAAACTATATATTATATTTAATTATTAAA